AACACGGTCTGTTCTCTGATCTTGGAAGTCTTGGGAGATGTTCTTGCTCTTAGTGCTTTATTTCTATTTAAACTCTCTGAAAAAAAGGACAATTTAGGTAGAATTATGCAGCAATTAATCCATAAACATTTTAGGCAACCAGTCATATCTAGGAGGTTGCCCTCTGAGAAGCACAGGGAAGATGTCAACCCCAAAATCCAGCTTTGCTTCCCCGAATCCCTGGAGCTCCGGGAGGAATCTCGTGAACTTCGGGAGAGTCAAAACCCAGTTCCAGATTTTATGGCTCGTTCCAGACCTTTCCTATAAATCTGCAGCTCTGAGGTCTCCAAACTAGACCAGTTTAGGAGTAGGCAGTGAGTGAGCTGTGCCTTGGGGCTTCAAATAGTGCTCCAGCAGCCAAAAATTGGTCCAAGTGGCATCTGTGGGGCCCTTCCCACTTAAAATATTCTGGGAATTCTGGAATTCCTTTCCTCATCAGTGTCCCAGAGTGACAGATCGTGGCTTAACAGTAAGAGAGATGGTTTTTTTTATAGTGATATATTTAGAAATATATTGTTTTCCTCCTGCTGTTTGGGTTCAGAAGGCAGAGATCTCCTGGAACGCATCTTCCTTCAGAAATCTTCCCAAAATAAGCCCTTGATGTTGAATTTGATGCACTCACTGTACTTTAATCTCCTCTAAAAAACCCCACATAATCACCTATCTAATTATTCTGACTTCACCCAAAGCTTTTTTCCCTATAAATACCCAGATATTCTCCTTTTTTTTTTTTTTGGTAGGTGTTTGAATAGTAATTTTGTCTCCCGGTGGCATCATCACCTGGTGGTGCTAAAAACTGTAGGAAAAGGAGATGTGGAGACCTGAGTCAGCTTGAATGGGAGTGATGGATAAAAGCACTTTATCCAGGTTTTCCACACTGGGAACCAAAGCACAGAAAGTGCTTCGTGAGATCCCCGGAAAAGTCTCCAGCAGGGAGAAGAGTTAATCCTGAGCTCTAAAGGCTTAGTCTGACACGTAACCCATAAAAAATTCCCTTTTCCATGGGTATATTTGCACTTATTTTGGAGTTTCCTCTTCTGGAGTGGAAGGGGGTCAGGCATTAAAATTTAGGAAGCTGCGAATTGGCCTTTAATGTTACGGTGGGGCACAGCAAGCATTTCAAACAGCCTCTCTTTCCCAAAAAAGAGGGGTTTTCCCCTCAGTAAAGCTGTAAAACACCTCTGTGAGCCTGAAGCAACTGCAGGGAGCGCTGTGGGGGTTTATTCCTGAGGCTCAGAGCTCGTCTCCTTGGATTGATTTCCCTCCTCGAGCCGTTCCATCGCTCCGATCCGTCTGCGGTGGGAAACGGCCCTCGAGTGGTTACAGGGGTTTGTTTACAGGTTTTGTTTAATATTCCCGAGCTCTGGAGATTCCCAGCCATCGATTTCCAAGGCCCAGCCTGTCAGGAGAGCTCTGAGTCGCCAAAGGATCGAAATCAGGGGTGGCAACGAGGGCGTCGGGTTGGTTTTTTCTCCGCTTTGCCGGAATGAAACGGCAAAGTTTCATTCCCTGTTTCCTCGGGGAGAGGGAACCTGGCTGTGCTTGCAGCAAGGCTGGAGAAATTCCAAGCAAAGCTGTGTTATCCAGCAGCATGGAAAGCTCAGTTTAGATAATTTAGTCCAAGCTCAAGGTGATAAAAAGCACCAACGGAGCGAAGCCACCGCTCGCTCCACCGGTGGGTGTCGTGTCGGCCAAGTTGGGATCATGTTCAGCTTGGATTAGGGATGGAGGGTGAGGAAAGGGATCAGGAAAGAGGAGAAGGGGAAGAAGAAGTGGATGGCTGCTGATCTGCTGGGGGTTTTTTTTCCGGTATTTCAAGGGTTTTTTGCTTTTTTTGCTGTTTTTTTGCTTCTCTCCCGTTTTCTCAGAGGGGTGGTGGCTCAGACGGCCCCGGGCGGTGTCACCCTCTGCCCAAAGAACTGCCCAACTCCACAGCCAGCTCCAAATCACATTTTTTTATTCCAGGCCCCTTAATAATTCAGGCTCTGATTATTTTGGTTTATTGCTGCTCCAGCTCATTCTGTGCCCAGGATGATGGAGTAAAAAAACCGTCTCAAGTGAGACTTAAAGAAAAGGGGATTTTTTTTCTCGTGGGCTGTGAAATGATCCTTCCTGGGTGTCCAAAGGAAAATTGATGGGCTCTGAAAGGCTTCCTTGGAGCTCAAAAACTGAAAATCCACTGGAGAAATTCATCTTCATCCCCCCCCAAGCCCCCACCTGACCCTCCTGTGAACACCCAGAAGGACTTCAGGCTTTAAATAAGGAGCAGCTCGTCCCCGTCTCCCTCCTCCTCTCGCCTCCACTGACAAATATAATTACAGCTTCACTTAAAGTGCTGTAAATGAGTTCTGGAGAGGAGAAAAATGGTGTGTGTATCTGCCTGCTGCAGGAATTAGCTGACTCCTGCTTTTCAGATGATGGGTCCATCCATCTCCGGGCCTTCCGGGGCGGAATCTCTGGAGCGAGAGCCCTGACACTGCTAAAGAGAGATGATTCTTGCAGCCAGTCCGTCTCCAGGCTGATAAAAGCTACTCAAAATGTAGGATTTTTGGTTCAAAAAGGCGTTTTTTCCGTGCATAATAAAGGTGAGGTTTCCTGCTTTCTACCGTGAGCAGAAAAGCATTCCTTGATCTGATCCCTGAGCCAAAAGTCCTGCCCCCCTCCAGGGAAAACCAGTGTCACTTGGAGATGTCACAGCTCTTCCAAAGCAGCTTCCAAGAGTCATTTCTTAACACCCTTATCTGGAAATTAGAGGTTGTGTAAATAATCCCATCACCCCCTCGCTGATAATTCCATTTTCTCTGCGGGGTAGAGCTGGGTGAGGAGAGAGAAAAGCTGGGAGAAGTGTCAGGGTGTGCTGGGGAGGGGGAATCCCTGTCATTCCCACTCCCCCTGGGGGTTGTCACTCTCATTTCCCTCTTTATTTCTCTTCCACACTCCAGGCCAGTGAATTATTTCCAGCAGTTTTTGAATTTCTCGCCGTGTTCCCACAGGAGCTGCTGAGGGAGGGGAATCCACAGAGTCATCCCAGAATGCTTTGGGTTGGAAAGACCTCCAAGATCATCTAATTCCACCTCTTTGCCAGGGGCAGGGACACCTTCCACTAGCCCAGGTTGCTCCAGCCTGGCCTTGGACACTTCCAGGGATCCAGGGGCAGCCACAACTTCTCTGGGCATCAAAGATCACCTGCTTCCAGCTCTCCATGTTTTCCATGGCTTCATCCATGCACACTTTTCTCTGGTTTAATTCCCAGAACATTTAGAGGCACATTCAGGCACTTGGGTGAAATCTCTCCCTGGGTGAAATCTTTCCCTCTGGCTTTGCCACCTTCCTTTATTTGTACAACTCCCTCTTATATTTTTACCTCTGTTTCGATTTGTTTTACTCAAAAAAAAGGTGGTTTTTTATCTCCTCACTTTTTTTTTTCCTCTTTCCAGGCTGGATGTGATTTAACTTTAGGAGCAAAATTTAATTTTGTTATATTTTACTCCTAATTAAATGAGGAGCAAATCCAAAGCTCATTGAAGGTTCCTCTCCCAAAACAGGTTGTACAAACAAACCCCAAGTGACATTTACCTAAATCAGCCTCCAAGGCACAAAACAGGAGGAAAGTTGTGCCAAGGGAGGTTTAGACTGGATATAAGGGAAAATTCCTTCATGGAGAGGGTTTTCCTGCCCAGGGAAGGGGTGGAGTCCCCATTCTTGGAGGGATTTAAAATCCATATGGATGTGGCACTTGGGGATGTGGGTCAGTGATGGCTTTGGGGAATGGTTTGATTCCGTGATCTTGGAGGGGCTTTTCCAGCCTTAATGATTCCCTGATTCTCCAGAGAGCCATGGAGAGCTCCATAGGGAAAACAGGAATGTTGGCATGTAAAGAACCGAATGTAAAACATCAATGAGCAAGTTTTAGGCTGGAAATTAGATCCCAAATTTTAACTTCCAGGTTGGAAAAGCGATGTTTGAAAGGAGCCAGCAGGGGTAGGAACCTGATCAGCTTTAATATGGCCCAGGAGTTCATACTCCAGGCCCTGGGACACAGGGATTGTGGGGATGGGACTTGCTGATCCAGGAGATCAGCAATCCCATTGTTTAATTCAAGTGGAAGCTGTGTGAGAGGAACCAGCCCGATCCCAAACCTTGCTAATCATGTAGGCAGGATGTCAGTCCTAAAGTGCTGCTCGAGCAAGGCCTTGATCCCAGGAATTTGGGATGTGTTTCCTCTAATTAGGGCAGAATGTGAGGTAACAGAGTGTTATTCCTATTAGAGAATTCACTCCCTTACTCAAGGGGCAGCTTTTGGGTTGCAGGGCAGGAGGTTCAGGGTTAAATGCGAGGGGATAAAATATAAGGGGTGAGGTTCCAGAGTTAGAGCTGCACTGACACCCCTCAGAGACAGAACAATGTCCTCAGGGCTGGGAGAAATTCCAGGTGGTGTTTTGGAGGTCTCGGTGGGAAGGAAGCAGTTGCTCCATGGCCAGCTCACACCTTTGCTTCGCTGCCCAAGAGCTGTGTTTTATTAACAAACCCCCCAAAAAAAAGCCTCCCAGGTGCCTCTGAGGGAGTAAAGAGTCACCTGAGGTCGGATGGGGGAGCCTGTGGTGACTAAAAAAAGGGCCCTGTCACCTGTTGGAGCTGTGCTTTGGCTCCCAGGCAGCTCTTTCCAGCAAGATGAATGATCCTGGATTCTGCAGCTGCAGCAACGCCCATCACAGAGCAATATCTTCCCAAGCAAATGTATCCTGGGGGTTGATTAAACCCCCTCAGGCTCACTTTGGAGTTCAATCCATTGCAGAAGCATTTTGGTGCTTCACAGTAGATGTTAAATATCAAATTAGAGCCGTTATTGCTCAGCCAAAGGCGTGGAGAACGCACATGTTTGGGATGGGAGCAGATGAGATGCTGCGGGTGGTAAAGCTGCTGAAGGATGTCACAAATCTCTTCTGTCTTCTCTTTTCCAGCCATGTCTCCAGGCCAGGACAGCCATTCCAGCATGGAACAGCTCCCTGCATCTGAACAGATCCTGCAAACGCTGAGTGAGCTGGCCAGGTCTTTCCAGGAGATGGCCGATCGCTGCCTGCTGGTTCTGCACCTGGAAGTCAGGTGAACACCCCAAAATTTGGGATTCGTGGGCGAGCCTGGCAGGCTGTGGGTTAAGAATGTGACCAGAGTACATATTATGGCATCAGAGAAGGATAAAGTTGCCTGGTGCAGCATCGAAGGTCGGTCCAGAAGTGCCAGATCACATCACCAGGGATGGCCAAATGTGTGAGGGAGGCAGGAATTGCTCAGGGAGTTCTGTGTCTGAACCAGCAGTGAGATTTAGATTAGGGAGAAATTCCTGGCTGGGAGGGTGGGGAGACCCTGGAATGAATTTCCCAGAGAAGCTGTGGCTACCCCTGGATCCCTGGAAGTGTCCAAGGCCAGGTTGGAGCAGCCTGGGATAGTGGAAGGTGTCCCTGCCCATGGCAGGGGTGGAACTAAATGATCTTTACAGTCCATTCCAACCCAAACTGTTCTGTGATTCCATGATCATGTGTCAGAGATGAGGAAAAATGTGTTTCTGGGGGGCTTTGTCCTGACAAAAAGGCACAATGGTGTTTTAATCATAGATCACAGAATCCCAGAATCAGCTGGGTTGGAAAAGCCCTCTGAGATCATCCAGTCCAACCCTCGCTCCAACCCCGCCGTGGTTCCCAGCCCATGGCACTGATGCCACATTCAGTCTGTCCTTAAACAGCTCCAGGGACAGAGAATCCACCCCCTCCCTGGGCAGCCCATTCCAAGGGCTGAGCACTCTCCATGGAAAACATTCCCTCCTGATGTCCAACCTGCCCCTGCCCTGGCCCAGCTTGAGACCGAGCCCTCTTGTCCTACTGCTGGTTCCCTGGAGCAGAGCCCGACCCCCCCCGGCTCCCCCCTCCTGGCAGGGAGTTGCAGAGAGTGAGGAGGTCTCCCCTGAGCCTCCTCCTCTCCAGGCTGAGCCCCCCCAGCTCCCTCAGCCTCTCCTCCCAGCACTTGGGCTCCAGTCCCTTCCCCAGCCTCGCTGCTCTTCTCTGCCCCTGCTCCAGCCCCTCCAGGGCCTTCCTGAGCTCAGGGCCCAGAGCTGGACACAGCACTCCAGGGGTGGCCTCCCCAGCGCCCAGCCCAGGGGCACAAGCCCTGCCCTGCTCCTGCTGCCACACTCTTCCCCAGCCAGCCCAGCAGCCCTTGGCCCTCTTGCCCCCCTGGCCACACTCGGGCTCCTCTTCAGCTCCCTGCCCAGCCCAACTCCCAGCTCCCTTCCTGCCTGGCTGCTCTCCAGCCCCTCTGGCCCAGCCTGCAGCTGCAGGGGCTTCTTGTGGCCAAAGGGCAGGACCTGGCCCTTGGCCTTGGGGAACCTCAGCCCCTTGCAATCAGCCCCTGGATCCAGCCTGGCCAGGGCCCTCTGCAGAGCCCTCCTGCCTTCCAGCACATCAACACTCCCCCAGCTTGGGGGCACCTGGAATGTGCTGATGGTTCCCTCCATCCCCTCCTCCAGATCCTCAGTGCAGACACTGAACAGGACTGGGCCCAGCACTGATCCCTGGGGACACCCCTGGGGACGGATCCCAGCTGGAAGCAGCTCCATCCCCACCACTCTCTGGGCCCTCAGCCAGTTCCTCACCCAGCCCAGAGTGCCCCTGGCCAAGCCTTTTCCAGGAGCATCCCATGGGAGACGGTGCCAAAGTTTTTACCGGGTGTCTCCACATTCAGGAGCCGCCGCTCTTCGGATCACAAACAGCAGCTTTTCTTCCTACTTTTTCAAACAGCAGCAGGAACTGGGGAATCAGCTGGATTTTTTTTTAAAGGGCTGAGGAGAATTCCATGAAGTCTCTGACTTCCCATGCAGAGATCAAAGGCAGCAAATGCCTTTCTTCAGGCTGCCAGCTGTCCACTGCGGGGCCGGGAAGACGCTTTTCCCTGATGCATTGTATGGGCCAGGTGGATTTTCATTGCTTCCCTTTTCCTCTGAAGCATCAAATAGATGTCACAGAATTGATGGGTCATCAGTTTGTTCTCCTGTGACACGTCCTGAGCCGTGTTGTGTCCCTGTGCACGCAGGCAGAGCCCTGGGGAAGTCCGGGTGGAGCTCTGCAAAAAAAAATCCACATCAGTTATTGTCAGCAGCCCTTCAACCTGCCATCCATCATCTGCTGGGCTCGGGATTGCAGGCACGGACTGGAGGGAAAGACGGGGAAAAGGATGGAAATGAAGCAGTTCTCCAGCTGTGCTGTAATGGGAGATGAGGCCTGAGATAACCTGGATTCATGGAAAAGGCACCAGCCTGGATGGGGTTCTGGCCCCTGTGGCTTCTCATCACTCTTGGGTTAAGCAAAAATCCAGGAAAACAGGGATGTCAACAAGCAGGAAAACCCCCAGAGAGGTGGGACAATGACAAGAGGAGGGTGTGTTTAATTCAGACATAACCACCCAGTCCTTGAAGTTGGTGTCCTAGTTAGGACAACTGAGACCAGTTCATCAGGGTATGGGTGTAACCCAAAACTGTGTATTCTATAGCCTTCCATGCCATTTCCCAGAAACTGTTATCAATGAACCATTTACACCATCTGCCCATAGAGCCTGACTCCTCAGGCTATAAACTAGGTGTTAAGAGGCCTGTGAGATAGGAGGATGCTCCTGTCCTCACACCCTTTGTGGAACTCCCCGCCCTGAGGGAAGCACTGAGCATTTCTGCCTGAACTGCAGGATATATAATCTTGGAGTCTTGGAACATTTTTAACCACTCTGTGGGATCCAGAGAAGGACTGCGGCTCATCGCTCTCAAACAGACGTGGACCACCACCCTATACTGGACTCCAATCACCACTTTTGACCAGACTGCAACAGCTCTTCCCCCAGCATCTCACTGCAATCACCACTTTTGACTAGACTGCAACAGCTCTCCCACCAGCAGGTTCCTCCCCTCTCCCTTTACTTTGGACTCAAGCGGGGCCCAAGGAACACCACGTTGTTCATGCCCCAGGGTACTGGGTTATACATTTGGGTTTTGTGGGTTAAGACCAATTGTTTGTTTGTATGATTGTACTTACTGTATTATTTTAGTAAATTGTTCTTCTGACTTATAATCTCTCCTTTGAGTTGAGTTCATTTCCCCTGCTGGTTAACTCTTAAACCAGCACATTTTTTGGCGCCCAACGTGGGGCAGAGAGAGAGAAGTCAGAATCACAATTTCACTTTAAGCATTTGTCTATTTGGATATAGAAACTCCCTGATCACCATGTTGTTTGATGCATTCACATGGATGTTGTATTTGAGCCTGTTCATATTTCCACAGATGGGGCACTATTTGCCTGTTTTGATGCTCTCTTTAAGACCAGGGAGAGGGATCCAAATTGCTTTATTAGTATATTATGTTTATGTCATTCTAACATCAGAAGCAATGAGTTTCATTGTAAATGTGTATTCAGTCCTGTTTGCCTGTCCTGGTTTGGGTTGCTACCTCTGGGGCCTCATTAAAAATCGTACCCAGCCCTTTGGGGGAACAGGGGGGGATGGTTGTTTCCAACCTCTCACCTCCTTTTTCCCCTTCAGACCTGCTACAACAGTTTTTGAAAATATTGAGTTCCCTTTTGATGTTAAGGACAGCATAATGTTATTGTTAGTGTTGCTCTGTCTGCTCTGTACTGTGTACACCATGTTTAGGGTCAGAACAGGGCCTTCTAGGGAGATTGTTTGGACACCTGCCCTGGGAGCAGATAATGCTGAGTGGCACGGGAAGTGGGAGGACATCAGCCAGTATTTGGAGAAGTTTTCTCCTCCAATGATCTGGAAATTCACCCCTGAACAACTGCAGGATCCTGTTAGCATGATAAGACTGGTGAAGGAAAAATGCTCTGGCAGCTCCAGAGATGGCCAGCTCACAGCAACCTGCTGGGCCCTGGCCACTGCCTACCGGACATTACTTGACATGGTACAGCACTGTCAGGGGGAGGAGAGAAAGACCAAATCCGCAGGCACCACGTCCACCCAAACCGCAGCTGAGTCAGAGGGAGAAAGAAATAAACCAACCGGCACCGTGTCCACACAAACCATCGAGGAGCCAGAAGAACAACCAAAACCAATAGCAGTCGCCCCTGTCCAGAAAAGGAAATCAAAGACTAAATCAGTCCGTATAGCAAATGATGACGAAGAGGCAGGACCTTCACATCCACTGGAGGAGACAGAGGCAGAAATAATCACTCGGTCCCTATCCCTGGGTGAGCTACGCGAGCTCCGGAGAGAGTTCACACGACAGGCGAACGAGTCCATTCTGACCTGGCTGCTCCGAATCTGGGATGCTGCAGCTAACGATACAATCCTAGATGGGAGTGAAGCCAGACAGCTGGGGTCCCTGTCTCGAGATGTAGTCATTGATCAGGGGATTGGAAGGAGGCAGGAAACTCTCAGCCTCTGGCGGCGACTGTTGTGCAGTGTGAGGGAGAGATACCTTTGCAAGGAGGACCTCCACGTACAGCAAGGACAGTGGAACACGATGGAACAAGGTATCCGGTGCTTAAGGGAGTTAGCTGTACTGGAGATAATCTTTTCAGACGATGAAAGATTCCCTAAAAGTCCAGATGGCATACAGTGCACCTCCCAGATGTGGTTAAAGTTTGCACGACTTGGGCCAGAAATGTATTCCCGCTACTTAGCAACGCTGCAATGGAGGGAGGGAGAGGACAAGGTGGGAGCATTGGTTAGTAAACGCAGGATGTATGAAGACACTGTCACCGCCCCATTACGAGCCCACGTCTCATCTGTGGAAACCAAACTGGCTGAACACGTCCGAAGCCTGGAAGAGAAAATTGAAGAGGGACACCAGAAGCTAAGAGAGGAAATTAAGGAAGGGATCTTCCATATCTCACCAGGACAAACAAGAATCTCTGCTATTAGGAGCCAGCGTCCCCCAGCTAAGGAGAGAAGGTACACTCCACGTGGCGATCTATGGTTTTACCTCCGTGAGCACGGAGAAGATATGAGGAAGTGGGATGGGAAACCCACCCCTTCCTTAGCAGCCCGGGTACGTGAACTGAAAAGAGGAACAAGTACCACAAGGAACTCTTCAAGGGTAAACGTTGCTCCAGTCTCTCGTGGGCAAGACTCCAGACGGTACAGGAATGATGATACGTCTGATCCTCTTGAAGGGACCTCCAGGTCATACCCACAAGAAGAGCACAATGAGTACCATGACCAGGACTAGGGGTGCCCTGCCTCTAGCCAGGTAGAGGAGAGGGACAATCGAGTCTATTGGACAGTGTGGATTCGGTGGCCTGGCACATCTGAGCCACAAAGGTATAAGGCCTTAGTGGACACCGGCGCACAATGCACTTTAATGCCATCAAGATACGTAGGGGCAGAATCCATCTCCATTTCTGGGGTGACAGGGGGATCCCAACAGCTGACTGTACTGGAAGCTGAAGTGAGCCTGACTGGGAAGGAATGGCACAGACACCCCATCGTGACTGGCCCAGAGGCCCCGTGCATCCTTGGCATAGATTACCTGAGGAGTGGGTATTTCAAAGACTCAAAAGGACTTCGTTGGGCTTTTGGCATAGCTGCTGTGGAGACGGAGGAAATTAGACAGTTGAACACCTTGCCTGGTCTCTCAGAGGACCCCTCTGCTGTGGGACTGCTGAAGGTTGAAGAACAATTGATACCGATAGCCACAGCAACAGTGCACCGTCGGCAATACCGCACCGACCGAGACTCTGTGACCCCTATACATAAGATGATCCGTGAACTGGAGACCCAGGGGGTGGTCAGCAAGACTCGCTCACCCTTTAATAGCCCTATATGGCCAGTGTGTAAGTCCAGCGGAGAGTGGAGGCTGACGGTGGATTACCGTGGACTCAATGAAGTCACACCACCCCTGAGTGCTGCTGTGCTGGACATGCTGGAGCTCCAGTACGAGCTGGAGTCCAAGGCAGCCAAGTGGTATGCCACCACTGACATTGCCAATGCCTTTTTCTCCATTCCTTTGGCAGCGGAGTGCAGGCCACAATTTGCTTTCACTTGGAGAGGTGTGCAGTACACCTGGAATCGACTGCCTCAGGGGTGGAAACACAGTCCCAGCATTTGCCATGGACTGATCCAGACTGCACTGGAAAAGGGTGAGGCTCCAGAGCACCTACAGTACATTGACGACATCATTGTATGGGGGAACACGGCGGGTGAAGTCTTTGAGAAAGGAGAGAAGATAATCCAGATTCTCCTAAGAGCCGGTTTTGCCATTAAACGGAGTAAGGTCAAGGGACCTGCTCAGGAAATTCAGTTCCTAGGAGTGAAGTGGCAAGATGGACGCCGCCTAATTCCCATGGAGGTGATTAACAAAATAGCAACCATGTCCCCACCAACCAGCAAGAAGGAAACACAGGCTTTCCTAGGCGCTGTGGGCTTTTGGAGGATGCATATCCCCGAGTATAGTCAGATTGTAAGCCCTCTCTACCTTGTGACACGGAAGAAAAATGATTTCCAGTGGGGCCCCAAACAACAACAAGCCTTTGAACAAATTAAACAAGAGATTGCCCATGCGGTAGCCCTTGGGCCAGTAAGGACAGGACAGGACGTGAAGAACGTGCTCTACACCGCAGCCGGGGAGAATGGCCCTTCTTGGAGCCTCTGGCAGAAAGTGCCTGGGGAGACCCGAGGACGACCGCTGGGATTCTGGAGTCGGGGATACAAAGGATCTGAAACCAGCTATACACCAACTGAGAAAGAGATCCTGGCTGCCTATGAAGGAGTTCGAGCTGCCTCAGAAGTAATCGGCACCGAAGCGCAGCTCCTCCTGGCACCCCGACTACCAGTGCTGGGCTGGATGTTCAAGGGAAGAGTTCCTTCCACACATCACGCCACCGATGCCACGGGGAGTAAGTGGATCGCTCTGATCACGCAGCGAACCCGGATAGGGAACCCTAATCGCCCTGGGATTCTGGAAATTATCACCAATTGGCCCGAAGGTGAGAGTTTCGGACTATCCTCTGAAGAAGAGGAGGAGAAGGTGACACGGGCTGAGGAGGCCCCACCATATGACAAGCTACCAGCAGACGAAAGGCGATATGTGCTCTTCACGGATGGCTCCTGCCGCATTGTAGGGACAAACCGAAAATGGAAGGCAGCTGTATGGAGTCCCACACGGCGGGTTGCAGAAGCGACTGAAGGACAAGGTGGGTCAAGTCAGTTTGCAGAGCTTAAAGCCGTTCAGTTGGCTTTGGATATAGCTGAACGAGAGAAGTGGCCAAGACTCTATCTCTACACTGACTCATGGATGGTGGCCAATGCTCTGTGGGGATGGCTGGAGCGATGGAAAAAGGCCAACTGGCAGCGCCAAGGGAAACCCATCTGGGCGGCGGAGATGTGGCAGGACATCGCTGGCCGGGTAGAGAAGCTGAGTGTGAAGGTCCGTCACGTAGACGCTCATGTAGGCAAGAAACGGGCTAATGAGGAGCATCGTAACAACGAGCAGGCGGACCGAGCTGCCAGGATTAAAGTCTCTCAGGTAGATCTGGATTGGCAGCACAAAGGAGAATTATTTCTGGCTCGATGGGCCCATGATGCCTCCGGTCACCAGGGGAGAGATGCAACATACAGATGGGCTCGTGACCGAGGGGTGGACTTAACCAAGGACATTGTCTCACAGGTCATCCATGACTGTGAGACATGTGCTGCCATCAAACAGGCCAAGCGGGTGAAGCCTCTATGGTATGGTGGACGGTGGTTGAAATACAGGTATGGGGAAACCTGGCAAGCTGACTACATCACGCTCCCCAAAACCCGCCAAGGCAAGCACTACGTACTGACCATGGTAGAAGGAAGTACTGGATGGTTGGAGACATACCCCGTGCCTCATGCCACTGCCCGGAATACCAGCCTGGGCCTTGAAAAACAAGTCCTGTGGCGACACGGCACCCCAGAGAGAATTGAGTCTGATAATGGGACCCATTTCAAGAATGGCCTCGTAGACACCTGGGCCAAAGAGCACGGCATTGAGTGGGTGTATCATATCCCCTACCATGCACCAGCTGCTGGAAAAGTTGAGCGGTGCAACAGACTGCTGAAAACCACCCTGAAGGCACTGTGTGGGGAGACTCTCAAACACTGGGAGCTGCATTTAGCAAAGGCCACCTGGTTGGTCAACACCCGAGGCTCCATCAATCGAGCTGGCCCTGCCCAATCAGAACTTTTGCATACTGTAGATGGAGATAAAGTCCCCGTGGTACATATGAGAGGAATGTTAGGGAAGACTGTTTGGATTAGTCCCACCTCAAGCAAAGGCAAACCCATCCGAGGGATTGTTTTTGCTCAAGGACCTGGTTCCACCTGGTGGGTAATGCAAAAAGATGGGGAGACACGTTGTGTACCACAAGGGGACCTAATTTTGAGTGAGAATGGTCTGTAATGTTTCATTGTATATATATATATATATATATATATATGTATATAGTTTTAAAGGGATATAGTTTTTAAAGGGGGTTAATTTGGGCATGACATGGATGGCATAGAATAAGGGGTGGATAATGTCCTAGTTAGGACAACTGAGACCAGTTCATCAGGGTATGGGTGTAACCCAAAACTGTGTATTCTATAGCCTTCCATGCCATTTCCCAGAAACTGTTATCAATGAACCATTTACACCATCTGCCCATAGAGCCTGACTCCTCAGGCTATAAACTAGGTGTTAAGAGGCCTGTGAGATAGGAGGATGCTCCTGTCCTCACACCCTTTGTGGAACTCCCCGCCCTGAGGGAAGCACTGAGCATTCCTGCCTGAACTGCAGGATATATAATCTTGGAGTCTTGGAACACCCATACCCTGATGAACTGGTCTCAGTTGTCCTAACTAGGACAGTTGGTTACCTTTAAATACATTTTTAAGCAAAGCTTTTTAAATAAAGGTGTTATTTTTTTTTTTAAGCTTTTTAAATAAAGCCGTTATTTTTTTAACGCCGCCGGAAGGAAAACAAAGAAGCAACGCTTGGAAAACCCACGGCTATTTTTTGATAGTTCTCTTTTCTTTGCAGGGTTCATTGTTTCCACTACCTGATCCCTCTGGCCAAGCAGGGGAACTATGCCATCGTGGCCAACGTGGAGAGCATGGACTACGACCCGCTGGTGGTGAGGCTCAACAAGGACATCAGCGCCATCGAGGAGGCCATGAGCGCCAGCCTCCAGCAGCACAAGTTCCAGTACATCTTCGAAGGTCAGGCACCTCCCACAACACTCTGGCTCTTCAAAAAAAGGGGTTTTTGTCCTCATCCCAAAGCTCCACGGCGTTCCTTTGTGGATTGAGGGGCTGTTGGCACCGATGGGATAAGTGAGATCCCTGTGGGAAACGGGGGTTTGATGGGGTGACAGAGCTGAGGGGGGTTCAGCTGGAGAAGGGAAGGCTCCAGGGAGACCTGAGAGCCCCTTGCAGGGCCTAAAGGGGCTCCAGGAGAGCTGGAGAGGGACTGGGGACAAGGCCTGGAGGGACAGGACACAGGGAATGGCTTCCCACTGCCAGAGTGCAGGGATAGGTGGGATATTGGGAAGGAATTGCTGTCTGGGAGGGTGGGGAGGGGCTGGAATGGATTTCCCAGAGCAGCTGTGGCTGCTCCTGGATCCCTGGAAGTGTCCCAGGCTGAGTTGGACTGGGCTTGGAGCCACCCGGGACAGTGGAAAGCGTCAGGGTTGGAACTGGATGCTCTCTAAGGTCCCTTCCAATCCAAACCCTTCTGTGATTCCATGATCCCAAGGCTTGTGTAATTCCTTGCCATTCCCACATAGCTGCAGAGAGAGAGCTTTTTATGGAGCTGTTTTCCGAGCTCTGTAAATCTGTGGCAAACACGTCACCATCAGGTTCTAGAACCCCTCCAACAACTCAGGTGTCCCATGTCTGTGTGAGGAGAGGGAAACATCTTCACACAGAGCCACAGGGACCATTTCCACCCTGCTGAGCCCTGGGGACCGTTCCCATCCTGCTGAGCCGTGAGGTTGAAATTCCTCCTCGTGCTCATCATACACAGGTACCTCTTCAGCCCAGTTTTGGGGTTTACATACACCCCATGCTGGCTGTAATAATGAATTATTCTTAATTCAGACTTTTAATTGGCATCTGGGCTTGTCCAGGCCTCTGCACTGAGGGAATCAGGCTGAGCTTTTTGCTCTTTTTGATGTGATGTGAATGGCTGGGATGTGACAGGAATGGATCCATCGTTTTGGGGGTGGCTGTGACTGGCAGCACCCAGCTGTGTCCTTGAGCAGCAGGGACATCCCTCAGACACGAGAAAGTGTTCCAGACTGATCAGAGAGAGGTTGTGCACCAAGTGCTTTGGGTGCAGCTCGTTTCTGCTCCTGGAGACCGTGAGTTTTCCAGGGAAAACACCACCCTTGAAAACAGATTCAACCACTGGGATCTTCCAGGAGCTGCAGTGCTCCGTTGCTCTGCCCAGACAGAGGGATGGAAAGGGACACTCTGCAAAGCCTGGAAGTGCCCTGGAGATATCAGAGGTTGTGCAATTCTGATTTTCAGGGCAGTTTTGTATTTTTACTAAAGAAGGGAACCTTGAGGGAAGTCCTCCTAAAACACACAGGGGCTGTTTCCAGTTATCCCTTGTTCCAGTCCACTCAACAGTGCTCATTCCTGGGTTTTATGATGAATTATTGCCACTAAATACCTTCCTCCTCCCCCTGGCAGGGTTGGGCCACCTCATCTCCTGCATCCTCATCAACGGCGCCCACTACTTCAAGCGCATCAGCGAGTCCGGCATCAAGAAGATGTGTCGGAACATCTTCATCCTCCAGCAGAACCTGACCAACATCACCATGTCCCGGGAGGCCGACCTGGACTTTGCCAGGTGAGCACAGAGCCCCGTGGTGGGCTTGTTATTGTAGGGTTTGCTGCTGTTTTGGTGTCCACGTGAAGCAGAGGGAGCTCCTCCCGAAAGTCTCGCCGTGAGATGAGCACCGAGTTCAACACATCCAGGTGTTGATTGGAATATTTACTTTCTCCTGGTTGTTCAGAGAATCAGAGGATGGTTCAGGTTGGAAATGACCTCCAAGGTCATCAAGTCCAAACATGGAGCACTTGAGCTCAGCGTGAGGTTCCACCAAAGCATCTGCACTTGGGGCTCCTCCCAAGACCAAAACCCAGGCAAGGAAAAGCTTCTAAATATAAAGTTGTCTAGAAGATATCTATCTTCTAGGTATAGGCTGTAGGTTGAACTCAAACTGGGTGAAATTTGGGCTTGGATTCCAGCCCAGATAAGTTATACTTTGGTTGGTTGAAGGCTGACACTTTTAGCAACTCCCAGGAACAGAGTCTGTGGACCTCAGGGTAGCCAGATGCAGGTGGGCTTGAAGGGATGTCTCCTTTCAAGTTCTGTTGATCTTAAAGTAGTAGTAAGAGCAAAATAAACCCAGAACTGGATGTGACAGACCCCCTGGTGATTTATCCACAAAAGGAGGATTGAGGAGTAAGCAAATGGGTGAGAGCAAACACTCTCAGTGGTTTGCTCCTGGACTGGGGGTGCTGACTCTGAGTCACTGCACTGGCTGATCTTCGTGATCCTCTGTGGCAGCAGCTGGTTCAGGAATGAGCAGCTGAGCCCAAGAAACAGCGAAAGGAGGAGTCTGGAACTTGCAAATGAAGGGATGTAGATCAAACAAGGGAGTTTTTGCGTGTGGCACTTGGATGGGACCCCCCACGAACACTGGGAATAGTTGGTGTCATCATTTGGTTTTTGGAGACTGAATCAGGAGAGAAACTGGACTCCCTCAGATGAGGAAGAGTGTGACTGAGAGCCTCATTTCCTGGGCTGTCATATGGGGAATGATCTCATTATTGAATTAGTTCCTCCCCAATAACGTCGACGTGGGGAAGTTACGACCGCTGAGGCCTGGAGAAGGTGGAGAGAGAAAGATCCATGACAAACTCTCCAAGGAATACACTTCCCAAATCCAATCTCTCCTTTTTTAAATGATATTTCCCCCCCCCCACCCCGGTCTGTTGAGATGCTTAATTGGCCCAGTTTTTTTGGCAGGCAGAACAGAGCTTGAGCATGTGCTGACAGGCCAGTGGCACCCAAATAATGACACACCCAAATAATGACCAGGAGCTGCTGGAGAGGTGGAATATCCCTGGAGCTCTGACTCTGCACGATTTCATGTGTGGAGTTTGAAGGGAAGAGTGAGGAGGCAGCATGTTCCCAACTCCTGATCCTGCTGGGTGGGTGAAGACCAGGAGTTTTCACAGCATCAACCGCTGACCGGTTACACAGCAACAGATTTTCTCCTGCACATTGGAGCTGCTGGGGACCATCATTAAGAGCTGTGGAGCTCAGAGGAGGCACCTGAGCTGCACCATGGAGCCATTTAGGTTGGAAAAGACCTCTGAGATCCAAGCCAACCATTCCCCAGCGCTGCCAAGGCCACCACTGACCCATGTCCCCAGGTGCCACATCCACAGGGCTTTGAAATCCCTCCAGATCCGGTGCCTGACCACCCTTTCCATGAAGAAATTTTCCCTGATATCCAATCTAAACTCCCTTTGGCACAACTTGAGGCCATTTCCTCTTGTCCTGTCCCTTGTTCCTTGGGGGAAGAGCCCATTTCCCACCTGGCTACAGCATCTTTGTGGTCCCTGGGGTGCAGAATTCTTCCCATCATCGTATAAATTCATCAACACTTCTTTTTAGCTTTCATGGCTGCATCTCTTCCCTCTTTCTTTTAGGGCATAATTCCATCATCTGGAGAGTGTGTTTTATTCTTTTGTCCTTCAGATAACTCCTGAATTCTTATTATCCAGGTTCTTTTCCATAACCAAGGCTCTGGTGCATCCAAACCCTGCCCCACTCACCTGAATTCACAATGACCTGAGCAAGTTCTCAGGGTACCCCGGGGACTGAGGTCTGTTCAAACCATTAAACAAACACAACAATTCACCCCCAGAAAGCAGAAAATAACATCAGTGTGGGATAAAAGTGATTTGTCTCCCTGTGATACGGCTCATGCAGGAGTCTGTAAATGCTCTGTGCTGTTTGAACTCTCAGTTTTGCCTTTTTTAAAGATGACAAGGGAGAGCAAGTGGTGATTTCATGGACAGGAGCAGTGGCAGAGCTGCTGGAGAAATCCCCACCCACCTGCTCCTCCTTCCCCCTGCACCTCCTGGTGACTGGGATGAATAAATTCCCTCCCTGCCTCACTTCTCCAGGGAATTGGGTGATCCTGACTGAACAGGAGAAAAGTTTTCCAACCCTGCCTTGATATTTCCATGTCCAAGACGCTCAGGGTTCAAGAATCAATTAGCCCCAATTAACAACCAACACATCACTCTTCACACAGTCCTTTCAGCCATTAAATCTGAATTCTGGAACAGGTCCTGTGTGGTCTTTTCCTGCAAGTGAACACATTTGAAGTTCGATGTGTTCAAGTTTATAGGAAAGACAAACCATTTGAGAAAGGACCAGAAGACTTTTAGGACTTTCCTGGCTGTCCCTCCTTTGATTTTGCTTTTATTTTTCACTGTGGATATCATCTTCAAGGTTTTTTATGGGGCTTCAAGAGCACTGGGCATCCCCTTTCTTCTCTGCTCAGTGACTTAGGTGGTAGAAACCCCAACCAGGGAAGCAGCAGGGGGAAGAATTTTCTCCTCTGAAGCCAAAATCACGTGGAGGATTCACAACAAAACTTAACCCAGCTAACACTTGTTGGTTCTGGCAAGGCTTTTGCTCTTTAAACCCCGTTTTTCACCAGCTCTGTCACCTGCAGGTGACAACAGCAGCAGTTTGGAGCTTTGGGAATGGCCCCATGGCAAGGGGAAAATGTGTTTCAAATGAGTTTTGCTTTGAGCTTCTCGGTTCAAGGCAGGGAAAGTCTCAGCAGAGCAGGAGCACGTTTCCATCGGGGAAAAAAAAATAAATTGCCACGTTGTGTGAGCTCCAGGAAGGAGGTTTTTCCACCAGGAGAAAACAGGGTAAAACACGCTGGCTCTGACTGCTGAGGTGTCACAAAGGATTTGTGGCATTTGCTAAATTTCCTGCAAATATTATTAGGTTTTTTAGCTTAGGTGTGTGTGTTCGGTATCTGGGCCACAGAAATGTGGTTGGTCATTAGGGCATCCACTACTTTATTAAAGAAAAAGTAGGATTTTCTCCCTGTGTGTAATACCCAGGCTTGTGCTGCAAAGTCTGGGACTGGCCATGACTTCCAAATACCTCCAGGTTTTGGAAGTTTCACAGCCAGAATTGGACTTATGGCATTAGTGAGATAAACTAAGCTTCAAATTTGAATTCCTATTCAAATCTTTTCCCTTGTGCCTTCTTTCCTACTCCCCATTTATCCCTGCCCGAAATTACTCTCACATCTTTATGCAAAGATCTCATCAGAGATAGTAAAAAATGGTGAGGTTTCTGCTTCAGACTTGTCTTTAAATAAAGTATCATTCCATTCTCAGCTGTTCATTGAAAAAAAATAACTTTCTAGGACATCCAGCAGTGCTAAAACCACCCTGGTTTTGGAGAGTTATTGAGGTGGTTTCAAAGGGAAGGGAGAGACACCCATGGAAGTGTGGACACCCAGTGGAAGGTGTCCCTGCCCATGGCAGGGGGTTGGAATCAGATGATCCTTAAGGTCCCTTCCAACCCAAACCGTTCCGTGACTCAGTGATTCTGTAAAAGTTTAGGATGGAGCTTGAGCTTCCTTTCAAACCAGTCTGTGGTGGGAAGGACCAGTGTGGGGTTGGGAAAAAGTGCCTCAGCTCTGCTCTGGTACCTCATCTGCACCCTGATTTTATTTTTAATATCTGAGTGAATCACAGCAGCAGAGAGAGACCCTCAGGTTTGGGGCCTGACCCCCAGATTTAGGGCCTGGCCCTCAGGTTTAGGGTCTGACCCCCAGGTTTAGGGCCTAACCCTCAGGTTTGGGGGTATGACCCTCAGGTTAAGGGCCTGACCCTCAGGTTTAAGGCCTGACCCTCAGGTTTAGGAGCTGACCTTTAGGTTTGGGGGTATGACCTTCAGGTTTGGGGCCTGACTCTCAGATTTGGGGCCTGACCCTCAGGTTTAGGAACTGACACTCAGGTTTAGGAACTGACCCCCAGGTTTGGGGTCTGACCCTCAGGTTTAGGATCTGACCCCCATGTTTAGGACCTGACCCTCAAGTTTAAGGCCTCACCCTCAGGTTTAGGATCTGACCCCCATGTTTAGGACCTGACCCTCAAGTTTAAGGCCTCACCCTCAGGTTTAGGATCTGACCCCCATGTTTAGGACCTGACCCTCAGGTTTAAGGCCTGACCCTCAGGTTTAGGGCCTGACTCTCATGTTTGGGGCCTGTGCCTCAGGTTTAAGGCCTCACCCCCAGATTTAGGATTAGTGCCAAGAGGCAGAGATGTCCTTGTGCTACAGTTCCCAGTGCCAGCTCAAACATCCGTGGATGTGGCAGGGTTGTCCCATCCAGCTCTGATTCCTACATAGGGAAAATTGGAAAACACCACCAGGACATGTCTGAACTCATGAAAAACACCCCTGGGAGCAGTGTCTGAGCAGCAGCAGCAGGATTTCGTGGGGTGCTTTATTTCTGGGCACAGTTGTGGTTGGGATGCTCAGCATTTCGGGCTCCTCTCCTGCTCTGACTGGCAGACAGAGGATTTTTAGGGATGGGAGCGATTTCTGATGCTCTTGCAGGCAGGAGGAATCTGCAATAACATGCTGCCATCTACTGGGAGCTGCTGAGGGAAAAGGGGAGCCCCTGGACATCCCAGTGCTCTGAAATATGACTTTTTCATTGCCAAATATCACTTCTCTTCCCGATTTTATTCTTGATAAATGCAGAAACAGCAGGATGGGTTTGCTGTTTAGTG